CACTGCCATCTTTGCAGACGCTCAAGCCAGGACCCCAGGAGATACCTTTGACTCCTTTTTGCTCTTGGACCCAGTTCCAGTATGGAAATCCCGCCTGTTCCACCTTCAATGTTTATCCAGAACCCACCCATTTTCACTCTTGGCTGCCCCACCTCAGTCACATTCCCTCCAGTTCCAACCTGGATACTCTCAGCACCTCCCCCCGCCCCCCAGTTTGTGTCCCACACACAGCCAGAGGGGTTCTGTGAGCACCTGTATTTGTTTCTTAGGGCTACTGTAACATACTACTACAACTTGGTGGCTTAAAACATTTATTCTCGGCCAGGCATAGTGGCTCACACTTGTAATCCCAGCACACTGCAAGGTGGAGTCAAGAGGACTGCCTGAGCCCATGGTTCGAGACCAGCCTGGGCAACATGGTGAGACCTCACCTCTATAATAAAAATCAAAAAATTAGCCGGGCATGGTGCTGTATGTCTGTAGTTCCAACTATTTGGAAGGGTGAGGCGGAAGGATCATCTGAGCCTAGCAGGTCTAGGCTCTGGTGGCTGTGAGCATGTCACTGCACTCCAGCCTGGGCAACGGAGTGAGACTCTGACTTCAAAAGAGAACGCACAAAATATTTATTCTTGCCCAGTTTTGGAGACCAGAAATCCAAACTCAAGGTTTGGGCGGGGCTGTGCTCCCAGCAGAGGTTTTAGGGAAAATTCTATCCCTAACCCCTACTGGATTCAGGTCGCTCCGGGCGCTCCTGGGTTTGTGGTCCCATCACTCCAATCTCTGCCTACCTGGTCATATGGCCTTCATGTATCTTCTGTCTTATAAGGACACTTATCTTTGGATTTAGAGCCCACCCAGATAATCCAGAATGATCTCATCTCAAGATCCTAAAGTTAATTCCCTCTGCAAAGATCCTTTTTCCAAATAAGGTCACATACACAAGTTTGGGGGTTATGCTTACGTAGGACATATCTTTTTTGAGGCCACCATTCAACCCACTACAGAACCCAAGGCAGATCACACCGCCCCCTCCTTTGCTGGGAACCTGCACATGACCACGCCCTACTCACCACAGTCCATACAGCCCTGTGAGATCTCACCTGTCAGCCTCTGTGATATCTCTTCCTAGCTCATTCCACTGCAGATACACTGGCCTCCCCATTCATACCAGGCATACTCTGACCTCAGAACTTTTGTACTGGCTGTCCCCACTCACCCCCTCCAGAGGTTCATGGCCCCTCCTTGAGGTGTTTCCTCAGGTATCCCCTTCCTGACCTTATTTAAAATTCAAACCATTCCCACCTCCACCTCTCTTCCCTGATTGTCTATAGCACTTGCTACCTTCTAACATATAATTTACTAATTTTTTTTTCACTCTGAGTCTCACTCTGTCACCCAGGCTGGAGTGCGGTGGCATACTCATGGCCATCGCAGCCTCAGCCTGCTGGGCTCAGGTGATTCTTCTGCCTCAGCCTTACAAGTAGCTGGAACCACAGGCGTGCACCATCACACCTGGCTAATTTTTTCATTTATTGTAGAGATGAGGTCTCGCTAGTTGCCCAAGTTGGTCTTGAACCCGTGGGCTCAGGCAATCCTCTCACCTAGGATTATAGGCATGAGCCACTGTACCTGGCCTAATTTACTTATTATTTATTATATTTTTTCTCTCATGTCTGTTTGTTCACAGCTATATCCCCAGTGCCTAAAGCAATATCTGATGCACAATAGGTACTCAATAAATATGTGTACCGTTAATAAACAGCCTTGGCCAGGTGCAGTGGCTCACCCCTGTAATCCCAACACTTCAGGAGGCTGAGGCAGGAGGAGTGCTTGAACCCAGGAGTTCCAGACCAGTCTGGGCAACATAGTGAGACCTTGTCTCTACAAAAAAATTTAAAAAGCAGCGGGGCATGGTGGCACATGTCTGTAGTCCCAGCCTCTCGGGATGCTGAGGTGAAAGGATTGCCTGAGGCCAGGAGGTCAAAGCTGCTATGAACTGTAATCATCATGATCTTGCCAAGGCATTCCAGCCCTGGGCAACAGAGTGAGACCCTAACTTAAAAAAAAAAAATTAAAAACAAAAACAACCAGCCTCCTGAGTAATTGATACTATTGTTATCACACCCATTTTGCAGATGGGGAAACTGAGGCCCCGAGGCATTGTCACTTCTCCGAGGTCAGTCACATAAGTACTGAAGCTCAAATTCAAACTCAGGTATCTGGCTCCAGCACGCACCATGTTAACTGTCTTGCCAACCTAACCCAATCTAAACCACCTCTCCAGTACTGGTTTTCTTAACTGCCTTAGGCATATTGCTTTGATAAAATATGTCGTAAGTTAAAATTAAACCCATCATTACAGACCTGTGATCACTGAACATTTTGAAAGCCAAAAAATCACTAACAATCTGAAGTCATCCATCTTTTTTTTTTTGAGTTGGAGTCTCACTCGGTCACCCAGACAGGAGTGCAGTGGCCGCTCCCGGCCACCGCAGCCTCGTCTGCTGGGTTCCGGTGATCCTTCCACCTCAGCCTTCCAAGTAGCCGGAATTACAGGCATGCCCTACCACGGCCGGTTGATTTTTTTATTTATTGTAGAGATGAGGTCTCGCTGCCCAGGCGGGTCTCGAACCCGCGGGCTCAGGCAATTCACTCCAGCCTCCCAAAGGCGTGGGATTACAGGCTGAGCCACCGAGCCTGGCTCATCTTTCTATTTACTTTTTTTTGTAGAGAGCAGGTCTGGCTATGTTGCCCAGGTAGGTCTTATTCTGGCCTCAAGCAATCCTCCTGCCTCGGCTTTCCAAAGTGCAGGCATTAAGGCATTAGCCACCATGCCCAGCCCTTCCACCTATTTTTGGTTTATTAGCGGCCAACCCATTTCTGACCTGACACTCTCAGCCCTGCCACCTCAGATCTCCACACCCCACTTCTCCCTTCGTTTTGTTTTTATTCATCCTGGCTTCCCTAATTCTATGTTGCCTACTGTTCCAACTCCATGTTCTTAAATAAAACATTTTTCACCAAGGCCTTCAAAGAAAACTGAAGGCAAGCAATTCCTACCCTCCCCCACCGTCCTTTGCTGTGGTCAACCACCTCAAAAGCTGGCATTAACTTCTGCTTCTCATGGTGACCTCTGGAATTTCAAATAACCTTGGTCTCTTGTTGCTTCTTTTGTTGTTGTTGTTGTTGTTTTTGAGTGGGAGTCTCACTCTGCCATCCAGGCTGGAGTGCTTTGGCACATTCATGGCCACTTCAACCTCCACCTGTTGGGCTCAGGCAATCCTTCCACCTCAGCCTCCCAAGTACCTGGAACTCAGGTGCACACCATCACACCCAGTTAATTTTTGGATTTATCATAGAGACAAGGTCTCACTAAGTTGCCCAGGCTAGTCTCGAATCCCTGGGCTTAGGCAATCCTCTCACCTCCACCTACTAAAGTGCTGGAATTACAGGCATGAGCCACCATGCCTGGCCATGTTGCTATTTCTTGCTGGATCCTTTTTACCCATCCCCATTTGTCTTCCTGTCAGGAGAGGAGGGGATCTAGCATGTTCTGCCCTTATTGATCTGAGCTGTGATGTTGATGGGGAGGAGTTTCCAAGTCATCCCTTCAGATCTGGGCTGGATCTTGGAGGAAGGGGAGAGCTAGCTCCTTTTGAGAATTTTCTTTTCATTTTCTTCTTATTATTATTTTTAAATCACAGTAACACATGCTCCTGATTTTTTAAAAGGTGATAAAACTGGTTACACCTGTGTTACTTCTTGACCTACACAGAGATGTTTTCTATACATCTTTATAAATAGCTTATATTTCACAATTAAAAAAAAAAAAAAGGCCAGGCGCGATGGCTCAAGCCTGTAATCCCAGCACTTTGGGAGGCAAGAAGATTGCCTGAGCTCAAGGGTTTAAGACCAGCCTGGGCAACTTGGTGAGAACTCACCTCTACAGTAAATAAAAAAATAAGCCGGGTGTGGTAGTACATGCCTGTAGTTCCAGCTACTTGAAAGGCTGAGGCGGAAGGATCGCCTGAGCCCAGGAGGTCAAGGCTGCAGTGGCCGTGAGCAGTGTGCCACTGCACTCCAGCCTTGGCGACAAAGTGAGACTCCGACTCAAAAAAAAAAAAACAACCCCAAAATAGACTTACAATAAAAAGCAATCTTGGGGCCAGGCGAAGTGGCTCACGTGTATAATCCCAGCACTTTGGGAGGCGGAGGCAAGAGGATTGCCTGAGACCAGAGGTTCAAGACCAGCCTGAAATCTAGTGAGACCTCATCTCTACAATAAATCAAAAAAAATTTAGCCGGGCATGGTGGTGCTCACCTGTAGTTCCAGCTACTTGGAAGGCTGAAGCTGAAGGATCACCTGAGCCCAGCAGGTCGAGGCTGCAGTAGCCATGAGCATGCCACTGCACTCCAGCCTGAGCAACAGAGTGAGACTTCGACTCCAAAAACAAAAAAGTCACCTTGAATTACCCACAAATCCCACTCCTTTGAAGGCAATCACTTTTGACTTGTTGCTTCTCTCAATAACATGACTTTTCTGCAGTTATCCGTTGACTTCCTGCCATGTGTGTTTGGGGTGGGGGGTTGAGGGGAGAGTGCGTTCTGTCCCTGTTTGAGAGAGGTGCCAGCCTCTCTCAACGAAGAAAGGAGGGGTGAGAGAAGAGGTGAGATGAAAGGGAGGGAGAGGAAGGGGGTTCTTCAATTTATTTCAACTGTGGCCTTAAATTCCACTTGGGAGATATGAGATGGGTGGAATCCAGAAGCCTGGACTAAAAAGAATTGTTTTTAATCCCTATCAAAATATCAGTTGACTTAAAAATAATCAAATACTGAAATCCAAGTAGTCTCCACCAAAAAATCCACCATCTCCCTTCCCCTGCCCTTTTCTTCCCATCCCACCCCGTGAGCTGTATCTTCTGCCGGTTTTATCGCCACATCTCTTAATCATATTATGCAACCTTGTTCTCTCCGTTTTATTTCATAAACATGTTATTAATTTTATTTATGTATTTATTTTTGACTAGGTAATGCATGTCCATGGTACAAAAATCCACAAGGTTTGTAGACAAAGAAAGACGTGCGCTTCCTTTTCCTCTTTACCTGTGGCCTCCCTGCTCCACACAGAGATCCTAGGGTGGAGTGGGATCAAGCCCATCCCCAGGCCACGTACGCCCCCGACCCTAGCTAGGTTGGCGGGACCGCGTCTGGGGGGCCGAGCCCCCCTCCTCGCTGCGGTGAGCCCAGGCGGAGGCGCGCACTGCGCAGACGCCCCGCTGCAGTGGGCGGAGCTCCCTCAGGCCCCGCCCCCGCTTTCCTCCCGCCCCTGTTCAGCCTGTTGGGGCAGAAGCTGGGGCCCCGCGGAGGTAGCAGCAACCGCCTGCCGAGTAAGACCGAAGCCCCTCAGGGGTAACTAGGGGGGGAGGATGGCTGGGGATACGGGATGAGGTGTGGTGGGGAGGTCTGGATGGTGCCGGGCTGAGCCGTATGGTGTGGTGGGTACCTGAGGGTGAGGGCGGAGGAGCCACCTGGAAAATACCCCGAGTAGTCCCAGGACCGAGAAGAGCCAGGTACAAAGATTCGCGGCTCCGCCGACCCCCATCCAGGACTGTCCTTTTGGGAATGTCTAGATTAGAGCTCAGCGGAGGGATGAGGGAGGGAGCTGAAGGGGAGCAGTGCGGGTGCTGACGGGGGGCAGGGTGGGCACTGCGGAGTGGTGGCAAGAAAGCAGAGGCGTTGCAGCTCGAGGGGTTTCGAAACCCCTGCTGACCAGCGACCAGCTTCCTCCTTTTGGGACGCAGGCATGGTGTCAGTGGCCCCCGTGATCATGGGGAAGGAGACCCAATGGATCCCATAGTGCAGAGACTAATGTACCGTCTGGGATGTTCCTCTTCTCAAAAAAGAAAAAAAAGCGTAGAACACCCCACACAGTGCCCGCTTTTGTTCTGCCAGTTTGGAGACCCTGACACGCCCACCTTCCCACCTGGGCTCTGCATTTCCCCCAGCTGCCAGGCAAGATGAAGCCTAAACTGATATACCAGGAGGTAGGTGGGATGGGGACCGAATGGGGAGGGACTAGGTACAGTGGAGGGTGGGGACCCTGCCGAGCCACCCTGTTGCCCCTTACCATCCCCATCTCCCAGCTGAAGGTGCCTGTGGAGGAGCCTGCCAGTGAGCTGCCCATGAATGAGATTGAGGCATGGAAGGCTGCAGAGAAGGTAGGAGCACCCTTGATCTGCCTCTGGGACAGGCTGGGCTGCTTCCCTCAGACTGGCTGACCGCCTCCTCCCCACAGAAAGCCCGCTGGGTCCTGCTGGTCCTCATCCTGGCAGTTGTGGGCTTTGGTGCCCTGATGACGCAGCTGTTTCTATGGGAATACGGCGACCTGCATCTCTTTGGGCCCAACCAGCGCCCAGCCCCCTGCTATGACCCCTGCGAGTAAGTGAGGGAGCTGCAGGTGGCAGGGGGTGGGGCCCCGCCATGCTGAGGACACTTAGACACACACTGAGCAGGGCCTGCTCTCAGCCGCACCCAGTGCTTGTGACAATGAGGAGGTTGCAGACTCTCAAGTGCATGCCCACCCCCTCTCTCCACTCGCTGTTTCCATGGCAGCCACAGCGTCATCGTCTATCCAGGTCTACGAACAGACAAACACACATGGCATCTTCCATCCATATCTGTAGACAGACACAGACACCCATATTCACAACCTTCTTTCAGACAATGCACACACACACAAATACCCACAGTCTTCCATCCACACCTGCGGGCACACAGGTGAGCACTCACCTCCCAGCTGGTGGTCTCTGGCACCCCATGGCTGATTCCATCTGTCACCCCCCCTCTTCCCCTCAGAGCGGTGCTGGTGGAGAGCATTCCTGAGGGCCTGGACTTCCCCAATGCCTCCACGGCCAACCCCTCCACCAGCCAGGCCTGGCTCGGCCTGCTTGCCGGTGCCCGCAGCAGCCTGGACATCGCTTCCTTTTACTGGACTCTCACCAACAATGACACCCACACACAGGAGCCCTCTGCCCAGCAGGTACCTGGTGGCCTTGGCCCTGGAAAGCAGTGGGACAGGGGCTGGGGGGCAGTGGGGAGATGTGGGGGTTTCCCCTGCAGCCCAGGAGACAAGCAGGCGTTCTCACACAGTGGATTGGACACAGATGTTTGGAAGCAGCTGCACATGGCCCTCTGGGCTGGGGGTGTTTATCACAGTCATCCGGAGGCTTCTGAATGTCAGGGTGTGGGTTTGGTTATGAGGGATTAGGCTGACAGATGTTATTCACCCACAAGCTGCCCTCACCCTGTGACACAAAGAAATGGAAGAACTGAGCAAGTAACAGCTCAGGCCCAGCCCAGACCACCACTTCCCAGCTGTGTGATCCTAGGCAGGTCATCTCTCCTCTTGGGCTTTGGTTTCTTTATCTGTAAAATGAGACCCATGTAAAGCACCCAATTCTCAGGGCTCTTGTGAGGTTGAAATGGACGAATCCATGTAAATTTTAGCACAGTACCTAGCACAGGGTCCTACAGACAAACTTAAAAAACATAAAAGCTTCACGATTTGAAAAGGAACAGCTTAGTTGGATAATACCTTCCACTGAAAAACATGATGAATTTGACTGGGCATGGTAGCTCATTCCTGTAGTCCCAGCACTTTGGGAGGCAGAGGCAGGAGGATTGCTTGAGCCCAGGAATTCAAGATTAGCCTGGGCAACATAAGGAGACCTCCTCTCTACAAAAAATTAAAAAAATTTGCTGGATATGGTGGCACTCGCCTATAGTCTCAGCTACCTGGGAGACTGACTCAGGGGGATCACTTGAACCCAGGAGTTAGAGGCGCGGTGAGCCATGATCATGCCACTGTACTCCAGCCTGGGGCAACAAGAGTGAGACCCCGACTCAAAAAAGAAAAAAAGAAGGGGCCTTGGACAGAGCCTGGTGCACAGTAGGTACCATGGCAATGTTGACAGTTGCTATTTATTGGCATCATCATGCCTCACCCCATGTCTTCTAACACCCCTAGCCTAAGCCTCACCCCTGACATCCTGAGAGGCCCCTGAAATGATGCATTCAATACTGGATTTTGAGATGGTCCCAGGAGGGGCAGAGAGGCCTTGGCAGGGTCTCAGAGCAGCTGTCTATTAAAAGTGATAGAGATGTTTAAAACAGATAAAGAAGGATTTCAGTGTTTTAATCTGTAAAGCCTTGAATCTATAAAGGCTAATATAAAGCCTGTTTATTCCTAATCACATCTCAAAATAGCCCCACTGGTATGCCTCATGGGTCAGAGAGCTGGTGGCCCAGCCCCTCAGAAGCTCTCCCTTCCCCACAGGGTGAGGAAGTCCTCCGGAAGCTACAGACCTTGGCACCAAAGGGTGTGAAAGTCCGCATCGCCGTGAGCAAGCCCAATGGACCCCAGCCACAGGCGGACCTGCAGACCCTGCTGCAGAGCGGTGAGCTGAGGACCAGCCAGGGACAGGCCAGGCCTGTAGCTGCCAAAGCTGGCCTCTGACCACTGCCCCTGTTGGTCACAGGTGCCCAGGTCCGCATGGTGGACATGCAGAAGCTGACTCATGGCGTCCTGCACACCAAGTTCTGGGTGGTGGACCAGACCCACTTCTACCTGGGCAGTGCCAACATGGACTGGCGCTCACTGACCCAGGTCTGCTTGCACTCTGCCTACCTTCCCTTCTAGGCCACGCCCTGCCGTACAAGGTGCCCAGCCTCCAACTGCACCCCACTTCGATCCAGAATCCTCTCTACCCAGTCTCTGCAATGTCTTCCTTCCTGCCTCCTGCCAGGCCTCCCTAATATCCCCAATCCAGCCCTCCACTGCCTTCTCCCATTCATGGAAGCCCTGGGCTCCCTCTGATCTCTGATGGCAGCTGCCAGCCCCTCAACGAGGCATTCAAGGCCTTCATTATACATTCTCTGTAAGCTCAGCCTTTTTCTGGGATGTTAGAACATGGTAGTAACAGATGGACTTCAGCGAACTCCCAGGCCAATGCAGAGACTGGCCTGTTACTATTCAGTGACAGCCAACAGGAGTCAGGGCTAAGGGTCAGGGAGGCACATGCAGAGGGCTCAGGACTCAGGGCCAGGATGGAGGAAACAGGACTGTGGAAGCTCAGAAGCAGCATCTTATCTAACCTGGGGTATCAGGGAAGGCTTCCCAGAGGGGGAAATAACTATCTGATCCTTGAAGGATATATAGGAATTAGCAGAAGGTAGGGAGGAGGGAACAGCTTAGGGAATGATGTGAAGGTAAGAGGGGACAGGACATCAACTCATTTCCTCAACCAATATTTCCCCAAACCCCTAATTTTACTAATTATGCAGTTAGTTGTAGACAATACAGTTGTAAGTGAGATATGCCTGGTGCCTGTCTTCTCAGCACAATGGGAAGACCAGTTTGTCATCAGAGAGAATGAAGAGAGAAGCCCAAGAGACTATGAGAGCCCAAAGGAATGCCTGGCACAGTTTGGGCAGTCAGGGGAGGTTTCCTGGAAGAGGAAACGTCAGCTTCTGGGTGTGATGGCTCATGCCTATAATCCCAACACTTTGGGAGGTGGAGGCGAGAAGGTTGCCTGAGCTGATGGGTTTGAGACCAGCCTGGGCAACATGATGAGACCTCGTCTCTATAATACATCAAAAAATTAGCTGGGTGTGGTGGTTCATGCCTGTAGTTCCAGCTACTTGGAAGGCTGAGGCTGAAGGATCACCTGAACCCATCAGGTCAAGGCTGTGGTAGTCTTGAGCATGCCACTGCGCTCCAGCCTGGGTGACAGAGTGAACTCTGACTCAAAAAGAAAAAGAAACATATCAGCCAAGACCTACAAATGAGTAGGAACTAGCTTGGTGGAGAGAAGCAATCACATCTGCAAAGTTTCGGGAAACCTGGAATTTTGGAACAACTGAATGATTTCCACCAAAACTTAAGTTCATACTCCTTCCAGGACTTTAGCAGGGGGTGAGGGCAGGAGGGGGACAGAGAGGAGAGTAGACTGAGGGACAGACCAGGTTGGGAGTGTCCCTGTCACCTGCAGGCCCCAGGTCGTTATCCCTGGGCTCAGCACTGCCCTCCCACAGGTTAAGGAGCTGGGCGTGGTCATGTACAACTGCAGCTGCCTGGCTCGCGACCTGACCAAGATCTTTGAGGCCTACTGGTTCCTGGGCCAAGCAGGCAGCTCCATCCCCTCCACCTGGCCCCGGCCCTATGACACCCGCTACAATCAAGAGACACCAATGGAGATCTGCCTCAATGGAACCCCTGCTCTGGCCTTTCTGGCGGTGAGTCTAGGGCCAGTGAGGCCGGCCATGCCTTGGCCCTATGCTGTCGCTTACTGCCTCCCTCTGGCCTAGCCTGGTGATTGTGGGGAGGGAGTTCGCTGAGCACTAGCCCTCACTCCTGCTCACTCTGCTTGGTCAGGGGCCTAGTCTATGTCGCAACCTCCCTAGGCCTTGGTTTCATCTGGAATGTAGGCATCATAGTAGTTCCAACAAGGTTGCTGGCTAAGGCACCACTGTGTTCATACACACCAAGCCTTTAGTGTGGCCCTGTGTAGTCCATCATAGCCAGGCGGCTCTTTCAGTTTAAATTAAATATGACTAACAGTTCAGTTCTCACGGGAAACATTTCCATATAGCCACATTTCAAGCTCTGTCACACACATAGCAAGTGACCGCCATATTGGACATTTCCATCACCGTAGAAAGTCCTCTTGGACAGGGCTGGCTCTTGCCCATGGCAGAGACTGAGCACTCTGGACAAGACACTGATATTTCTAAGCTGTTGATAATTTTGCTAGTTGGGGCAGGCAGCCTGAATCCCCCTAGGGCCTCCTGAGCAAGTCAACTGGCCGAGCCCAGAATCATCCTGGAGGATTCGACCCAAAGGCGTGGATGCAGGGAACACGATTCACGGAGGCCCTTTGCTGCAGTGCCTCCCACAGGGGATTAAGGCTTTCCCCTTTTAGGGTGTCAGTTTCCTCGTCTGTTGTGAGCATTAAGGGAGCTGGGCAAAGGACCTAGGGTGGCACTGGGCACACCAGGAGTGCGTGTTCAGGGTGGGCTGTGAGCAAGTCAGGGAAGAAAATGAATGGAACAGAGCCCTCAAACCTCAGCATGCCTCCGAATCACTTGGGGAGCTTGTTAAAATCCAAATTCCTGGGCCCCACCCCAGCATTCTGATTCAGTAGGCCGTATGCAGTGAGGCCCAAGAATGTGCATTTCTAATAAGTTCCCAGGAGATGCTGTTGCTGCTGGATCAGAGACCTTGCATTGACATCCACTGGGGTAGAGCACAAAATTCTGGAACCAGACAGGCTGGGTTCAAATCCTGGCTCCATTGATCAGCTGTGACTGTAGGCAAGTCACTTACCCTCTCTGAGCCTCAGTTTCTTCACCTGTGAAATGGAGGGGGTAATTATCCCCCGCCTTCATAGAGGCTGAGTATTCGGCGAGACCCACAGGATCTGGCTCATGGCGAGCTGTTTGTACATGGGGTCCACTGTGACAGTGCCTCTGGCGGAGCACATGTCTTGACTGTTACCTCACCCCCAGAGTGCACCCCCACCCCTGTGTCCAAGTGGCCGCACTCCAGACCTGAAGGCTCTCCTCAACGTGGTGGACAATGCCCGGAGTTTCATCTATATCGCGGTCATGAACTACTTGCCGACTATGGAGTTCTCTCACCCGCGCAGGTACTCCTGAGGGCGTGGAGAGGAGATGGAGAGGGAGTGATGGGCTCAGGAAGCCGGTGGGGGTGCCCAGGAAGGAGGACAGATGGAAAAGAAGCGACAGGAGAAGCGGTCACCAGGAGGTGACAGGAGAGGGGATCTAGGTGCTTGAGACAGGAGAAAGGGTTTATGGGACAGACAGGGATGGGATTTTGGAAGGTGGCTTGGGAGGAGCAGAAAAGAATGAGGATATTGGGGCTGAGGGACAAGGACGGGGGGATTGGAAGCCTGAAGCAGGATGTAGGATTTAGGGAGGTGAAAAGCATGGTCCAGCCGGGCTCGGTGGCTCAGCCTGAAATCCTGCGCCTTGGGAGGCTGAGGTGAGTGGATTGCCTGAGCCGGCGGGTTCGAGACCTGCCTGGGCAACTTGGCGAGACCTCATCTCTA